TACTTTAATTTTTTTTAAAACATATTTAACCTAAAACCTTAACGGATTTGTGACAAAAAACTTCTTTTATTTTGCGATTGGATTGTTTGATATCTGAAATAAAAGTATTTTTACATTTACAAACACAGTTCACAAATGAATGTCGCTTCTCTCATCTTTGAACAAATAGAAATAATGATGTCACAAACACAGGAATCTAATATACAAAATGAGTATTACGTTCAATTCCTATTTGATCTCTTTTCCTAATTTGTGTACTGTTATTACAGATTGATTTTTATAGTTTAATTTGAATTATCGTTTGTCGAGTGTGCCCTTGAATAAATTTAAATAAAGGTTAATTAAACTAACGTAGAATCGTCTTCCTCTACTTCGGTGATGTTCGACATTGCGGAAGGTCTCGCAGTTGTAGCGAAAATTTTGCGACGAGGTCTTTACATGTAATATTAATTTGTTCTATAAGTAGCTAATTAGAATAAATTATATAAACACATAGATATAATTGTAATAAATAAATAAATAGATATTAAAAATATGGTAAACTTTAACACCTATTTTTAATTGAATTCCAAGGTTGTACATCAGTCTCGCCCCAGATTAAAAACGTTATGCCACACAACAGTAGAATTGTCGCGTGAAAACACCAAATATTTTTCCATACAGTTACTGAGTTCTGAAACATTTCAATTAGTTTTTTTTTTAATGAATGAATTAAAGTATAAAAACATTTAGCTGAAAAACATACCTGGTATTTATAAGTAGCTTCTCCCACGCATAAAGAAACGATAATCCCAGATGTATTCCCAATAATTTTAATAACTGTATTTATAGAGTTGACGTACATTGGTGTTATTTCCTGATGATATTTAAACTAAATTAGTACATAGGCATCAATGTATTACCTTTATTTATGACATCAAAACGATACATACATAACAAATGTCAAAAGTACTGTCCATTCCTGCTGCGGTGAGCGCTACCGCTAAAGTTAGTATAGTAGGTCCGGGTATTGCCGGGAATAGCCACAACGTGGATATCATAATGCCGGGTATTACGTGAGCTATTAAGAAAATTCAATAAAAAAGGTATTTGTGTGTGCACACTGTGATTTATGAATGCATTTATACACATGTCTTGTGACAAAAAATCGTTGTATTTACAGATGTTAGTTAGTAAAAGAAAATTCTTAAATTATACTCACAAACAAATATGATATATTTCCTTAAATGTTTAATTCTTTTAATTTTTTCGTTTTGTTTATAATAGTAAAACATTTGTATAAAAATGGTACCCACTATTAATCTCAATAGAAAAGGTAGCGCTGTTAGAGCGGACGCCTGTAAAAGTTATTTCGAAGCCCTTTTTTTATACGAATTATATGCACATTAGAGGAAATTTACTATCCTCCTAGAGTAAATGTTACTTGGCAAACTATTTAATGTGTATACTTACTTGATATAACGTATACTTTAGAACTTGAGTGTAATAAAGCGGACCA